AATAGATATTAAATGTGAAAATGCTCATAAAGTAACTCTTAAAGATGGCATAACTCAAAATGGGTGTTCGACTTATTTTAATTTTAATTGTGTTATATATGCTACAAGTAAATGTATTCCTAGACCAAATGCTGGATTAGCTAAACAGTCAATGCAAATTCTACTTAGTGCTAAGAAATGGGAGCTTCTAACTTTGCCTCTTCATTTAGTATTTCCACATAATTATTAAATTCATGATCATCTACAAATAGGTCACTGTCTATTACAATTATTTATGTTTTTATTCCAACTCATAAGTAGCAAACCATAATTGCCCTTTAAAAAGTTTTTTAAATATATTTTTTACTGCTTATTTAAATTAATCTCTTCTCTTAATTCCAAATATACCATATCTCATCTGTATTTATTTGGATACTTACAATATATGAGTCTAAAATCAATTGTCTTTAATCAGATGATGAGTATTCCATTATTTAATCAATTGCCATCGTATTCCCTATTACCATACTATTTAAATGGGATGTGATTGTAAAAATCTAAGTTAAATATTCAAAGGATTGAAGAGTAGTTTTCTTCTATTCAGAAATTTATTAATCTAAATCTGAAACCTTGACTTAAATATAAATACATACCTTTTTCTCCAATAATTTTAGAAAGACTTTTTTACACTTTATCTAAGTTTTCATTTCATCTGAGTATATTCATTGTTAAAATAATAATTTATCACCTTCTACACTTAATAAAGATGTTATTTCCTTTATATATGTATTTTTGACATCAACTTTAATTTCTTGAAGAGGTTATGCATTTTCCTTTGCATTTCTAGTAAATTTAATAACTTAAATAGTTTTATTTGTTTTTTAATCTTTTTGTCTTCATGGTTCACACGAAGGATTCAGTAACTTTAAACTTTAAAAATTCAAAATAGATTGTTATTCATGTAATTGTTATAATAACCTAACATTTTCAGTTAGAAGTTAATCTTATATAATAGCTTGTGAAACAATATTTGGGATAGTTATTGTGGTAAATATGAATGAATAAATTAGTCAGTGTCTTCTAATGATTGATCCATTTTCTCTTTGCATATTATTTTTTTAGCATGAACTCATCCAAATCATTCTTATGCTAACTCTCTGGATGATAAACATTCATAATATTTTCATTATTAAATGGTGATGATCTTTCAAAAGCTTTACTCCTTTTATTATTATTGTTACATTATAAAAATACCTATCCAAATTATTTAGTTAATGGTTCCTTTAGATTATTCTTATTATTTGATTAATTTATTCTCTACATCTTCATTTGATAATTCTGGTAATATCTGTAATAATTTATTACATGGATCATTTTGATGATTTATCTTTTTAGTAAATATTATATTTGCTCGTTAATATTGCAGTTAATCCAAAAATACTTTATTTTATATAATATTCTTTCCTTTATTTTACAATTAATTCTATTATATGAGTGATATAATTTGATTTAACCCAATCAATATCTTCAAATTCATCTAAATATATAATAAAATATACTTTGCTTCTTAATAATTTATACAAAAGAATTGAAAATTTCTACAGAATCAAGTTCTTGTCCACATACTACTCCATATCTTGAATTTTCCTATTCTTAATCCTTTCCTGTGACTTCAGTTTCAACTAAAACAATCATATTCTTTCTGTCTACCCATATTTTATAGTTAATTCTTGATGTTTCAACAGAAATAATCATTTCTATTTCTTATTTTGGACAGTATACATGTAAAATTAGTGCTTCCGCTATAAACTGTCATTAATAATTGGTGGATCTATGGTAATTTCATTTTATATCTTCCCCACTCTTTAAATTTCATCATCTTCTAATTTGAAAATCTATATTTATTTCCAGGCAAATTAATAGCATCATTCTAATACTAATTTTTATCTTTATATCCCCATTCATTATTTTTGACCCATTCCAATTTTTTTTATTGTCTCTAAATACCCCTAAGTAATAATTTTTACTTATTCGTAATACTATCCTTTGAGTCCTGCTGGTTGAAAAATTTGGCTTTATAATTACTAAATACAAATCATAAATTAAAATAACACTTATTCAAATAATTATTTTTTTATTTTTTAAGTTAATTTAACGATTTCATAAGATTTAACCTTGGTAAAGTTAAATTATTCTCAAATTAAAATTTAGTATATTTCATTTCAGGTGATTTTCTTAATAAATATGCCCTGTTACCTAATTCTAAATATTATTAAAAAAATAAATACCATAAAATTTCTTTCCTTATTCAAGTGAAACTATATATCCTGTAGACCATGTGCTCCTTGACCTTTTTCTTAACCAAAGATATTTCTCATTCACAATCTCTTATAATAACAAAAGGAGATTAACACTAAAAGATAAGTTAAAAAAAGAGCCAAATAACATGCAACTCCTGTTCCTATTGATCTACTCATTACTATCATATTTTCTCTTCAATGGAATCAAATGCAACCTATTTATATATATATTCAGCATCTTTTAATATATTTTCCTCATTCGACGATCCCTAATATTTTAAATTCATTTTATATTATGTCTTAAATAATCTACTAAATTATAGGAAAACAATAAGTTTTCACAATTGGCATGAAGATATAAAATAGTTTTTTTAGTAAGATTTTAAGCTTTTAAATATAAACATGAAATTTATTTAGGGTATCTATAATTTCTATTATTACTAAATTTATTCAATGTGTTTGAATTTAAAGAAAAAATCAAAATTTTGTTACAGTTTTCTATTTTGAACTTATATGAAATTAATTTTATGCAAAATCTAATACTTTAAGAAAAGTCATCCTCGGATTATCTATTCTTGTTTTAAAAGACTTCTTCTTTCTCGATCTTTATCTATACCTAATATTTTAAACTATCTTATGTATGATTATGAAAATTAAACAATAAACAAGTTTCTTAAATATTTTGATATATTTAGAATTTCTATAACGATCCAATATTAGTATTATCTTTATAGCTTTTATTTCGAACATTAAGTTTGGATAAAAAGAAACCTGATTCTTTTCCGCATTATGAACAATAATAGCTCTAATCCCCTAATTCTATAAAACTAAAGTCAAGTTTATTTAAATTAATTATTCTCCTCTAAGTTTAAATTGTTCCCTATTAAAAGATCATAACCTAATAGTAAAATTAAATCTTATTCTTATGGTATATAACTATAGTATGTAGTAATAAAGTGAAATTATTATATTGATCGGTGAGAACAATGCTAGTAAATATTTTCATAAGAAAGAATTTTAAATCAACAAATAAACTCTAAAGAAAATCTCATAAAAATACAACATAAAATTAATAAAATATAATACCCAAAATTAGATACTTTAAGTATTTAATGTTATTGAAGATACTAACTGATTTTTAGGTATCAAAGTAGAACTGAAATTGGAAGCAATATAGAGGAATCTTAAAATGTTCAAAAGAATATAGAAACTGTTGAAGGTATATTATAAATAACATAGAGATAGTTCCTAATTAAGTTGTTTGTATTTTTTAGATTATATAAATTATTTAAATAATTATTATTATGATTGATAATTTAATTAATATTTGATTGAATTGAATATAATAATATATAAATATATTATCATTATTAAATATTTAATCCAAATCTAATTTTCTGATGATTGTGATATAGGTTCCTTTAAGTTTAAAAATAGAAAATTGAATAAAAGATAAACGTTAGCCTCAAAA